AATTTAAATTTGATAAATCTAGCGAGTGAATTCGATGGATATTAGAGAGAGTCTAGGGTACGAAATTACAGACGTGAAAATTCACGTGGCAAAACTGGTTCATGAAAACCATTTCTTTAGTGGAACAGTAGCAATCCCTGACCATCCCGTAGAACTTGGGTGACGATTTGATTTGATCTTTATAGCATCTATTCCCAGTCTATGCTCAGGCTAGCGGTGATTTTCTTCCTGGTTGTTGCACGTCAGGAAAATCTGTGCTTGACATGGACACTTTAGTATGGCAAGCGGAATTAGATTTCGATATGTTTTAAGAATTGTTTGCGAGAATCCTGTGGTGATGGCACGGCATGCCCGCGTCCGAAGAATCCGACTCTGGGAGCCCAACGCCATAGCACGAGAATTTGTTCCACAGCTTGTCCTTGAGGTAGCGCTTGATCTTGCCATTGTTACTGTTGGTACCACCACCGCCTCTTCCAGCCGCTGCTCAAACCAAAAATCTGTGAGAATCAAAGCATTCACGTCCTCCTGTTCTCTAACACTACGACGATGATGCGAGATCACCATCGTGCAGACGATGATCACCACCACCATGTTGATGACAAAGCCCACCAGCCTTAGTGTGCCTCTACACTTCCTGTTGTTGTAATGAAGATGAGGCTTACCCGAGCACTCGAGAGCGTCAAAGAACGTCTCCTCTTGTAGCGCGTCCAGCGGCAGGACATGGAGTCCGTCACTGCTCCAAGCTGCTTGCTGTGCTTCCCCGGACGATTCGTCGCCACTGCCCGCGTCCAGTAAGTCTAGAGCCATCTTCGCTGCCGGAGGAAGAGGTAGAGGCGACGAGGTCTGCTCCAGAGTTAGCGTCGACGTTGGTGTCGTCTGTGACGGTGTCGAGGCCGATGCTGCGTCCGAAATGATCGTCTTTGCCGGCGCTTGAGCCTCCTGCTCGAATTCCGCCTCCACGGCCAGTGTGCTAGCGCTGCCGTCACCCCCAACGCCGCTGCTCCTGCTACCAAGCTCGCTCGGCCTGTTGATGATGCAGGAGCGAGCGCCTGGAGAGTCCGGAACTCTTGGCTTCGTCGGGTCTGCCTGCTCCTGCTGCGCTAGTGACTGTGGTGGACTACCACTCCTGGTGACTAGCGAGAGCGTCGAGTCCCAGTCTGCGAAACCGTCGCTGGAAACCGGAACAGTGACTGAGATGCTGGGCTTCACCGCTGCGACTGCTGTTGGCAAAGGTGGCCTCCCCGACTTCGGAGGCAGGCTGCGAAACCCAAACGCGGCCTCTTGAGCTGGTTTTGGCTGGCCAGGCCTGAACTGCCTTCCTGGCAAGCTCCGAAATCCAAGCACTTGACGCTGGATGCCGGCCTGCTGCTGCTGCTGCTGCTGCTTCCCTCCCCCGAATCCAAAAGCCTCCTTTGCGCTGCCGGCACAAGCTTGTTTCACCTCGTCGATAAGCACGTCTCCAAGCCATGCAGGGATCTCCCGTATCAGAGGCTCAGCACCGTTCCGCAAGCCAGGACCTTTGTCCGCCAAGAATGGTAGCGACGACTTCTCTTTCCCTGCGGCGCCTGGCACTGGCGCCTGGCACATATCCTCGGTTGTCCAGATATCGTCGGTCGAGATCGAGAGCAAGCAGGCTTTCCCGTCGAAATGGAGCGAGCCGCGGATGAGATCTTTCGTTGTCACCCCTTTGAGCACTGTCTTTGGCACCTTAGCCTCGACTTTGTGGGAGTTCTCCTTTGGAAGAAAACTCGTATCGATCACCCATTCTTCCTCAGCCTTCTTCTCCTCTTTCACCACAAAGTCATGCGTCTCCGGAGCGGCTTCGCCAGGAGATGGCGGAGGAGCTAGAATCGACTCCAGCAACAGCTCGTCTCCCAAGCTTCTGTTCTCGACGACCAGTGTCTTCGCGGGCGACGCGGCTGCTTTTGTCAGAGGCACTAGCTCCTCAATTGCGGGCTCTGCCTCTCGCTCGACGGGAGCCATCTCGCTCAGTGGCACTTTCTCAAAGTCCGTGTCGTCGGGTATCTCGACTGTGTATATGGCGTTCTCTTCGTCACCAGCTCTCTTCGGCACAGACTTCACAGCAATGCCGATCTGAACACCCGGGCCAGCAGCTTCGCTTCTCGTCTCCGTGGGAACCTCCAGCGAGATGCGGACTTCCTGGTGAACAGAAGTGAACTCGTCGTTTGCAGCCGCCACCTTCTTCTCCTCAACCTTGAGCACGCAAGGTATGTCGTCGCATTCGCTTGCCGCGGGAACGCCTTCCCAGTTGAACGTCATGGGCCTTTCCTCACTCTTTTGGAGCGCTTCGAGGTTGAGAATGATGGACGCAATTTCCTTTTGCTGCTGAGTTGACGAGGATGCCTCAGAGCTGGATATGTCCTCCACTGACGTCCGCGCCACCATGCTGTGATCGCTGGCACCACTACCGCTTCCAGTTAATGCAATGGCGATTTGCAACGGGAGCTCCGGTTCTTTGCTTTTGTCAGCCTGAGTTGCACGCGAAGGAACGTCCAGGCCGAAGCACAGCTCGTGTATCACGGATGAAACCTCCTCCTCGTTGATCACCATCTTGTTGTCCTGGCTTACAACCAAGGGGGCTCCTTCCTGTTGCTGCTCTGGCCGGGGAACAACCTTCAACGTGTAGTCCGCAAATACGTCACCAGAAAGCTGCAGCTGGTCCCTTGAAACGGCCACAACTTCTCGACTTTCGGCTGCGTTGTCCCCGACGACATCGTTCTCGTGAACGACGGGTTGACTGTAAGATCCTTCGAGTGTGACGGAGATGTCCTGGATAACCGAGGGCGCCACTTCTTCTGCGCCGGGCTCGTCCTCCGGCACCACCTTGATTTCCTTGGGAGCAATCGCAACGTGAAGAGCCAAAGGGTCGTTCGGAGCATCCTGCTTCGGAGGTGGCATTTCAATCTTCATGTGCTGCGGAGCTTGCTCGACCTCCGAGGGCATGCCGTCTTCCTGAATGAACGAGAGTGCCACCCTTGGACTGGTGCTGCCTTCCAAAGGAAAAATCTCAAAACTCCGCTCGGTTTTCGTTGAGCTGATCTCGTCTACGTCTTCTTGCTGAGGCAGCTGCGCGTACTGAACTCCATCTATAACACGCTCTCGACTGGAAGCCGCTGCTGGAGCAAACGCAACTTCGTCTACCGAAGCTTTTGTCGAGAGAGCTCCTGAGACTGGTAAAACACTCATGAGGACGTCCTCGGGATGCGGGCAGTATGTCAGCCTCGTGAACATCTCCTCGAGAACTGAGATGATCTCCTCCTGGTCTTTGATGCAAGCTGGGCCGAAACGACAGTGACGACAGCGCTCGATGGTTCTTTCATCCTCCGGAACGCCGTAAGCTTCCAGGTCGGCGCATATATTCTGGAGGAGAGACGAAACCTCGCTCAGCATCTCAGTGTCCTCCTTGAGCCGCCTCGGTTCGTCGTCTAGATTGCAGAAGGTGAATGCTTCCTCGCTGGAGTGACAAGTAGCACGCTCGTCTTCACTACTTGTCGACTCGGGAACCAAGTACCGAGCAGCGTCCCATGTCAGCACAGTGGTGTCCCTCGGCCGAGGCTCCAACTCCACCTGGTAAGCTGGACGAAGGTAGGGAAATCCCTCGTTCTCCCACGTCAAAACTGGTTCGCTCAGGAGTGCATCCACCGGACTCTCTCCACTCCGGCCGGGATCATCGGGAGCAAGAGAGAAAACAGCGATCGCAGCAACCAGTGGCCTCTCGGAAGTCCCTTCGTCCTCCTGCCTGTGCATCGTTGTTATCTCGTCCCCTGTATTTGGAGTTGAAGGAACCACCGCTGCGGTGATCTCCGGCCGCTCTCCAGCAAGAGTAGCAAACGGATACTCGGACGGCTGCAAAACGGATGGAACCGGAGTCGAGAGAACGAGCGCTGAATCCTCGGAAGCCTGGCAAGACACCTCCAACCCAGCCGACGCTGCTACATCAGTAGCAAACAGAGATATCCTGTCCAGACGAGGAGACTGGACCATGAGCATCTCCGGAGTAACGAAAGTCCCGGCTTCGCACGAAAAACTTCCTCCTGGAAACCTCGGAGAAGTCATGGAATCCTGTGTGCACCTAGATATCGCGTCGCCCTCGAGGAGCTGGAGCCTCTTGTCCATCGTCCCGAGAACCATCTGGACGTAGGACTCGGTCCGCAAGCAAATCTCCTCCAATCTATCCAGCCTCCTCGTCACCATCTCCTGTGCATAGTCCGTGCTCGCGAAACCTGTGCCACCGCCACCTTGTTCTTCCTCGCGAGGAAGAACAAGCTCTTTGTTCCCGAGTGACAAAGCTGGCGGAGCTCGCTTCCTTGCAGATCTTCGTCTACCATGGCCGTGGTGGTGATGGTGGTGATGGCCCTTTGGCACTGGGACGACCCTGGTGTCGAGCACATTGTTGATGGCGTGGAGGAAATCGATGGGAACTTTGTCCGCGAGGTCTGCTGGGATCTGGCTCTCCGAGAAGTAACTCTCCACTCTTGGAGAATCGCAGCACCCCTCGGATCCAGCGAACCGGAACCCCGACTGGACAACGTTCTCCATGTCCTCCACCGGGCACCCGGCCGTTTGAGCGATGTCTTCCACTACGTCTAAAGCTCCGAGCCTCGATGTTCCACCAGCGGGAGCTTCGACGAGGAGGAATCCACTGGCGTCGCCGAGATCTTGGATGGGAGGGATCGAGGACGGCTCCGAGAGCATCAGGGACATGAGCTTGCGAACCAGCGGCTGGGACGGCCCATCCGCGACGCTTTGCGTGAAGGATTCGAGAATCGGCGTCCCTTCTTCCATCTACAAGCACAGAGAGCAAGGATTGACGGCATTCTCGTGCCCGATCGCTACGTACCACAGGGAAGATCGAATCAACAAGAAATCGATTGGACGCGCATCGCTGCCGCAACGCTGCAAGAAAACACCGATTACAATCCAGAGAGTCCTCGCAGCGCACGAATCGATTTACCTGTGGGAGGGCAGAGGAGAGAATCGACGAAGAAGACGACGATCACGCGAAATATTTCATTGATGAAGAAAACGAAGAACCCTAATCGTGACCATTGGGCACGTCAGCAGCCACGTGGCACTCTTCTTCCCGCCAAAATTCTCCCCGCGTTCTTCCTCACGCCGGAACCAGGGAGTTGTAGTGCTCCCCCAATCCAAACGCGTGCTTGTGATACGAGAGCTTGATCGATGGATTCGTCCCATCGCGCTGGAACCCACTGCCCATCTCCACGATCGCCATCTCCGCCGAGAACACGAAGATGTGCTTCTGGAGCGCGTGAGAGAGCGCCTCGAGCTCCAATTGCCCTCCCCAGGCCGCGGTCGATTCGATCTCCCGGCAGTAATCCTCCAGCTCCACATCGCCGCCAATGAATGGAACGAAATCCTCTGGGTGCTCGCGGATGTAGCCCGCCGCGATCTTCCGGAGCTCCTGGAACGAGTACTGGGGCGCACTGGGATGGAGCTGGAGCTGATCTTCCACCGCCCGGTACAAGCAATGCCCGTCGGGTTTGATCTCCTTGAGCGACAATCCCAGCGGCTGGAGCTTGGCGGCGAGGACATCCTCCTCCACCTTGCGATCGCTCACGAGTAGTGCCTGTTCGTCCTGGATGCGCTGCTCCCTCTCGGCGTCCTGCTGCGCTCGTCGATCCCGCCACTTCTTCCCCTTGGAGATTCTTGGCGGCGCCGCCACGGCGGCGGCAGAGGAGACCCCGACCCCCGCGATTGCCCTCACCAATCCATCCAGCCGCCCGGCATTCGTGTCCTCGCTGCCCGCAAACCCCAGCGTAGCCAGCTCCCTGGCCTGCCGCTCCTTCATCGCCGCGTCCTGCCCGGAGATTTCTTCCTCGATCGCCTTCTTCTTGGCCTTTTGCTCCGCCTTGCTGCCCTTGGCGGCGGCCTTCTTGAGCTCGATCTCTCGATTTCGCAGCTCCTTGATCTCCTGCCTGCCGCCACGACCATCATCGTCACGAAAACAACGCTAAGAGCTGCGACTTACTGGTGGCGGCTCAGCATTTCCATGCGGCTCTCCGCCTCCGTGACCGCCATAGCTCGATCGCTCGAAGATCACAACCTAAACCCTAGAATATTTTCCTAGAACATTCGTAGCATATTCTAAAAGAATATTCGTTAGATTATTCTCTATTGGAAGGGCCTACACACAAGAAAAGAAATGTTTGCTATAGTGTTAGAGTTGGACCATTAAAGGTATTATTTGGATGGACATACTAAAGTTTATATGATGTAACTAAAGTTTATACCAAAGTAGATTCATTGGCAAAAGAAATTTGCTAGATTCAATATCAAAATTATCTATAAATCTAATAAGTTCTAGATGTGTTAAATTATCAAACTTAGTTTCTAGCAATCAATTTAGACTAGTTAGAAGATGTTTAGGCTTTATATGAAAGTGATCTATTGAAAAAAGTAATATTGCATTATATAGAGTTGTTGAAGCAAAACCTTAATAGTGAAGCAATGAAATTTGCTATTTGTGCTAATGTGAAACTTTATTTCTCAATTAAATATGGGCTTATTTACTATAAGCAGGAAAGATTGTATCCTTTGTCCAAAGACCTATTACAATTATTTCTATAAGAATGTTATGATGTTCCAGCAATGGAATATAGTGGTAAATGAAAAACTTTTATTTAGTTGAAAAAGAGACTTTTTTAGTCTGGTATGGAAATTAATGTAGTAGACTATATATATTCTTACCCTACTTGTTAGTAGTGTAAGAGAAGAACTAAGAAGTATGTTGGGAAGTTGTAGTGCATTCCAACACTAATATGGCTATTTTAAAGTGTAACATTTAATTTCATCACTATAAGCAACTAAAAAGAACAATTTAATAGATGATCTATGGGGTTTAAATATAGACGGAAAGAGCCCATTAACAAAAGTTTTTCCAATTGGTTAAAGGTTTTGTGACTTTCTGAGAAGTCTAAATTTAGGAGTTTATATTTGGTATTAAAGGGGTCTCGGGTCTAACTTTGTTAGTTAGCTAGGGGAATCACACCATATGTTAATTAACATTTAGTAGGTCTAATTTGCTTTAGTTGGGCTCAACTCGAGGGGTAGGATGTCACGAAATTGGGGCTCTCAAAAGAGCTGTGGCTCTTAACTTTCATTCACGAGAGTGTGAACTTGCAAAAAAGTGTGATAGATTGTAAAAAATTAAAGAGAACAACTTGAGGGATAATTTATGAAGTTTAAATATAGAGGGAAATGACTTATGAACAAGAGTGCACTCTTTTGTCTAATTGGTTATGGGTCTTTGGATATTTAGGGTTAAATGTCCTTAGATTTGAATAGTATTAGGCTAAATGACCTTCTGGGAAGTCCACATTTAATAGCTTACAATCACTTACTTATTAAAGTTTAAACATTATGACACTTTGATTGTGGTTATGGATCGGTTGCTAAATATTACACACTTTATTCCAATTGTGGAAATTATGAATGCAAAGTAAAATGCAAATCTCTTTTCCATGAAATAGTGTGGGTTTATGAATTTCCTAAAGAAATGATCTTGAATAAGGATTTAAGATTTATGGGAAAGTTTTGAGGCACACTATTCTAGTTATTTGGTAATAAGTTGAAATTTAATATAGTTTCTCATCCTTAAACAAATGGGTAGACAAAAAACATAAATGGTTAGGTTGAAGATTATTTATGGTACTATATCGCAATGGATTAATACAATTAAGTTGAGAATAGAAATCTATTATAACAACACATTTCACTATTCTTCATAGGAGATATTGTAAGGAAATGCTCATAGGATTCTTTAATACATCATTATTTTGAAATTATATCTGAAATGTTAGTCTCAATTGTTAAGACTTATATAGAGCAATTGCGCTAAAGTTGATCTAAAGCTACTGTAGCATATGTGATCATGGGTAAATAGGGATAAATTAACCATTAAAATAAAAAAATTACCCTTTTCTAGTTGGTTTAAGAAGAGAGAGATAGGGTACATTAGATCATATAAAAGTAACTGATACAAGTTTGATTTTCATTAATTTATACCTTTTAGCAAAGTATATTCTTACTTCTAAAATTGAAATTATACACATTTGGCATCTATAATGTATGGACTGCAATATAAGTTGATGACTAGTTGCCACACTATAGTTATTAATTATGAGTATTATAAATCAACTTAGGAACCTCTTAAAATCTTGCAATAATAAAATATTCAATTTCTTTAAATCTTTTATTCTTTTATTTTGGGTTAGGCTCAAGTTATATTCCTACTCCTCAAATTGAAATCATACATATTGGGCATCCATGAGTACTGACTATATGCCATACTATAGATATTATTTGTGAGTATTATGAATTAACTTAGGAACCTCTTAAAAATGTTGAAAAATAATAAAATATTCAATTTCTTTAAATATTTTATTCTTTCATTTTGGGTTAGTTCTAACAAGTGTAAGCTTTTGAGGTTTGACTTTCCAAAGAGTCACCAATCACAATACTATTCAAACTAAAAAATGCTTAAAGTATCGAAAGACCTTTAACCAATTATAAAAAAGAGTAGTCCCTTTTCTCTCTATATTTAAACCCTTATAAATATCTCTTGAGTTATTCTCTCTATAACAAATTTATTTTAGCACTTTGGTACATAGATTCAATCCATAAAGATAACTATTACAAATTCTCATCTCTCGCTTGTTAACCCATTTTTGCAAATGAGTGTGGTTGTGTAAACAATTTCATTTGTTAATTTGTAATAGTTCTCAAAATATTCATGATATAATGATTTGTGTTAAGGATAATTAAACCTTTAACTCTTTTTAAATATCCATGTGGGCAAGGCAATATCATTCTTTTATAAGTCGAGTGGTACTTGAAATCACAAAGGTGGTTAATTTTATTAGTCTTTCCCTTGTAAATGAAAGCCAAAAGGTGTTTAAGTCTTAAAATTTTTGGACATAACCCTTTTTCATTTAAGTTAGTGTGTTTTTTATAAAGTGTGCCTTTTGTTAAATTTTGGAATTGTTTCCTTGATGGTTTGCATCAAGGGTAGACTAGGGTATATATTGACAAGAACATTGACTGTGAAGAGTTCTAAATATATAGTAGAAATAGTGATTAAAAGTACGGCTAATCACTTGAGATATTAATTTTGCTCCTGCTAAAATATATTGCTTTTTGTTCTACGTTTAACTTGGGTCTAAGCCCAAATTTTATGCTACTCTAGTTGGTGGGATACCCAGCTCCTCACATTAAATCACTAGTATGCTAAAATTATGCTAATTACCATTTAACACTATTTTATATATAATATAGGGGATTTTGAGTGCATACAATGGGCTTAGAGTTTTGTTCCAAATTCAAATGTACTACATAATTGTAAATACCAGTATTGTATCATGGTAGAATAGCTTTATATTTGAATCAGTTTTAAAAAATAAAGTTGGTAAAGGAAGGGGGGTTTCTTTTCTCTCTCTTTTTAATAACTCCTTTAAAGTTAATGATTCTTCTAGACTAGAAGTTTTCTTATTATCCTTTTATTTTCTAATATTCAGGGATTGAAATAATACAATTGCAGAAAAACAACTCTAGAGCAATATCAAAAACTTTATACGAACTATATGTCACTATTGAAAGAAAAGATCAAATTTATGTAAAACTACTAGTAGATTAAAAAAGGTTATGACCAAGAAGGTTAATAGAAAATATATAATCATTTTAAACTCCAAAAATGGAATTAATTTCAAACCATTCTATATGGCATATATTCTAAAGGTTTTTGAATCTTATTTGATCCCAATAATAAAGATGGACAATAATATAAAATGTAAACATACCACCAGCTTCCTCTTCTTCCTTCATCCCTTAATAGCTCTTCCCAAATATATAATCTCCTAAATTAAAAGCTAAAATTTATCACTTTTCTAATGTGCCTTTCTTAAGAGAAAAATACAGTTATATCAAAAGACTTTTGGTACATATGACACAATTAACTTATTATCCTCCTCTTTCTATACTTTATAAATATATTAAATTCCAAGACTGATCCCAGTTTCAAGCCATTTCATATCTTTTAGAACCTTCTAGATCTTATTTAACCCTAATAATAGGGGTGGATAATAAAGTGATATATGAATGCAACACTAATTAATATTGTTTTGCATCCAAAAGTTGAATAGATTTTGAATATATATTAAACCCTTGTTTCATAGTGTAGCGAGCCTAGAATTCTGTTTTAAATTTAATAAATGCTAAATTGCTCTTTATTACCTATTATTTCCAACTTAACATTACCCACTTCAGATATGCTAAATCATCAAATATAGGGGATGCCAATGCTCCATAGATGAACAACTTAGGTATATAATGAATAGTCCTAAATAAAAAAAAAGTACTAGATTCATTAAATGCTTAAACTAAATTCTTTGAGAGAGCTTAAAGTTCGTCTCTAAATTTATGTATATTACAATAAAGTATGTAAATGTTAAATTACTTTTTATTGCATCTAATTTTTAACTTAATTTAACCCTCTTTGGATGCTAAATCATAAAAACACTGACATTCCATAGGCAAAGGACTTGGGCATACAAATAAATATTATGGCAAATGTTTTAAATCTAAAGGATATTGCATATTCGCTAAATACCTAAGCTAAGATCTTTTAAGATAAAGTAAATCTAGAAAATTTAGTAAATGCCTTCTTCCTCCCTCCTCCTTCCCTCCTAATATCTCCTCCCAAGTTTGTGATTCTCCTAACTAGAGGTTAAGATTCATTATTTATCTTATATACCTTTTTCTTCTAGAGAGAAGGTTATATCAAAAAGCTTCTGACATATGCAATAACCATTTGGATAAGGTGTAAAGAATCAATAAAATAAAATATTTTATAGCTTATAGAATGACTAATATGTTCTTTTTATCTAGTACGCTTAGTTTGTATTGCCTTTTTATTATTGGTTTTTTAATTTCTAGGCATCTTATATTTCAAGATTGAAACTAATCTTAAGTCATTATGTAAGGCATATCTCCTAAAGCCTTCTAAATCCTATTTCACCCTAATAATGGGTATGGATAATAAA